AAATGAAACAAAAACGGTCGTGCTTTAAAAATTAAAATCAGCTGCTATTAGGCTACATTCTTATAGTGAATTATCATCCTTTGCGTAAAATCCCGAGTTTGTGCTGATCCACCGATCCTGATAGAAGTATAAAGAAGCCAAGTGAATGACGCGCTATAATGTAAAACATCTCACTGAAGTAGGCCTACAGGTGCTGTGTCACCAAGCGTTCGTTTTTAAACAATAACTTAATCAATTCTGTGTCTTAAGTACAATAAAACAGCAATAGATCTTAACTAAAATTACCATGGTAAACCGATAAGATAGCCATACGATTAAAGTATTTAATAGTTCTTTAATACGGCCAAATCATTCATAAAATCGTACTTAAAGGAATGCGCATGCTCAGACCTGAATCGTCTACACCAATAAGATTGCGGTATTATAAACCAATAAAATTGGGGGTGGGCGGAGCGACACGTGTCGCCCTGCCCAAAAGTGTCGCCCCGCCCCATCGTCCAGACTGCACTCTGGGGTACTACCATGCATTTGATACGCAGTTCATTTGCGTGTAATACACACGCACCCCACACCACTCATACTATGGCGTTATATATGTGCCTCATTCCTGAGCGAGTAATTGTAAGTTTTGAGCACAGAGAACTATATTTTGCAAGCACATTTCATTATATTTTGAACAGAAATTAACAATCGCAAAAAAAAAATCGTTTGAGCAAAGAAAAAACGATTCCGTGCTCAATAAATGTATTTGCTATTATCCATATTAACGTGCAATAATAACCCCTCTCACGCAGTTTACTCAGGTGCTCTCTCACAAACTTATTCTCTGCGCTCCTGTCAAGTTCCTCTCTCTCTCTCTCAACCTCTTAATTCTGTGCGCGCTCAACTCTTGACACACGCGCGCTCAACTCTTGATACACACGCGCGCTCAACTCTTGACACACGCGCGCTCAACTCTTGACACACGCGCGCTCAACTCTTGACACACGCGCGCTCAACTCTTGATACACACGCGCGCTCAACTCTTGACACACGCGCGCTCAACTCTTGATAGACACGCGCGCTCAACTTGCAACAGCGTTACAAGTGTGCCACAAAATCAACCAATCGGAAAATTAAAGGTCAATTGTGATTGGCTGTGGGTCTCCAATCACCACGCAGCACAAAGAAGAAGAAAAAAAATGTATGGACAGATGTCTTCTCTAGTATGGAATGCCAAAGCTGACTTAATTAAAAATAAATAAATACATAAATAAATAAATATACGAAGAAATGCAAAAAAGCAAAAATACATAAATAAATATACAAAGAAATGTAAAAAAAAATACAAATAAATGAGTATTTATACTTTTATTTCCCTATTTATGTATAATTGTATTTTTTTCACACATTTTTTATTTTTTATTTATACATTTATTTATTTCCACTTTTATTTATTTCCACATTTATTTATTTATACATTTATATATTGTATTGTATTATATAAATTGATTTCCAGGGGCGATCAGCATCATATACTGCATGTCCAGTTCTTAATATTAATCGATAAACTACTCAGTTATTATAATAATAAGGCCTTATTAAAAGTCAAAATCTTAATACAGAGGAGAATGTTTTTACACTGCAATTACAATTGCATAAAAGTCGTTATGAGATTAATGTTAAAAATAAAACATTTGAATATAGAAATATGAAATGATGGAATCAATTAAATTGTACGTTTAAATATGAAACTAAAACAGCCAGTAGGTGGCGTTAAGTCACTGTCTTAAACGAGTGAGTCATATCATTAATTCAGACTGATTCATTCAAATACTGATTCATTCAGTTCGGGGAAAAAATTATAATAAAATTATCTCATACATGGGCTTTTTTACAGCATTTTTAAATGCTGACATTTTTTATTAATGTTGGTGCCACGTCGCCCCGCCATAATTTTGATACCTGAGCTGTACAGTTGAACATAAAACGTGGTGTTTTTCCCTGAAGTTCAGTATTTGAATGAATCGGTCTGAATTAATGATATGACTCACTCGTTTAAGACAGTGACTTAACGCCACCTACTGGCTGTTTTAGTTTCATATTTAAACATACAATTTAATTGATTCCATCATTTCATATTTCTATATTCAAATGTTTTATTTTTAACATTAATCTCATAACGACTTTTATGCAATTGTAATTGCAGTGTAAAAACATTCTCCTCTGTATTAAGATTTTGACTTTTAATGACTTAATGACTTTTGTTAATTTTATTTTACTGATAACAGCCATAGTGCCTTATTATTATAATAACTGGGTAGTTTATCGATTAATATTAAGAACTTGACATGCAGTATATGATGCTGAACGTCCCTGGAAATCAATTATATAATACAATAAAATATATAAATGTATAAATAAATAAATGTGTAAATAAATAAATGTATAAATAAATAAATGTATAAATAAAAAATAAAAAATGTGTGAAAAAAATACAATTATACATAAATGAGGAAATAAAAGTATAAATACTCATTTAAAAAAAAAAAAAATTTTACATTTCTTTGTATATTTATTTATGTATTTTTGCTTTTTTGCATTTCTTCGAATATTTATTTATTTATGTATTTATTTATTTTTAATTAAGTCAGCTTTGGCATTCCATACTAGAGAAGACATCTGTCCATACATTTTTTTTGTTCTTCTTTGTGCTGAGTGGTGATTGGAGACCCACAGCCAATCACAATTGACCTTTAATTTTCCGATTGGTTGATTTTGTGGCACACTTGTAACGCTGTTGCAAGTTGAGCGCGCGTGTGTATCAAGAGTTGAGCGCGCGTGTGTCAGGAGTTGAGCGCGCGTGTGTCAAGAGTTGAGCGCGCGTGTGTATCAAGAGTTGAGCGCGTGTGTGTCAAGAGTTGAGCGCGCGTGTATCAAGAGTTGAGCGCGCGTGTGTCAAGAGTTGAGCGCGCGTGTGTCAAGAGTTGAGCGCGCGTGTGTCAAGAGTTGAGCGCGCGTGTGTATCAAGAGTTGAGCGCGCGTGTGTCAAGAGTTGAGCGCGCACAGAATTAAGAGGTTGAGAGAGAGAGAGAGGAACTTGACAGGAGCGCAGAGAATAAGTTTGTGAGAGAGCACCTGAGTAAACTGCGTGAGAGGGGTTTTTATTGCACGTTAATATGGATAATAGCAAATACATTTATTGAGCACGGAATCGTTTTTTCTTTGCTCAAACGAATTTTTTTTTTGCGATTGTTAATTTCTGTTCAAAATATAATGCAATGTGCTTGCAAAATATAGTTCTCTGTGCTCAAAACGTACAATTACTCGCTCAGGAATGAGGCACATATATAACGCCATATAATTCTACCCAAACGTATAATACACACGCACCCCACACCACTACTAAACCTACCCTAACCAACCCATGCGTATCCTATGCACGTAAAAACTCATTTTCGCGTATAAATTACTCGATAAACACACTGCGTGCTATAGAGACGCATTTAGTGTGATGGGTTGCAATATCATGTGACCTACCAGCTTTAGTTTCGTTGCTTCACTGCCATTTATAAACCCTCTCCCATGGCCTCATGGGATAGTAAAGTAAAACAAAAGTACTTAAAGTTAACAAAACTAATAAAGAATTAACATTAAAAAAAAATTAAAAAAAGCTCTAAACCTTACATTCTGTATTTTTACACACACACACACACACACACACACACACACACACACACACACACACACACACACACACACACACACACACACACACACACACACACACACACACACACACACACACACACACACACACACACACACACACGTGTGTATCTATGCACTAACAAAAGACAACAAAAGACAAAACACAATGGAGCTGCTGAAAAGTACTTGGAGTGAAACCGATTCTATCAATCAGAATACAAAAAAAAAATACAATATGGATACAATGCATGTTTTGAGAGAGACAGAGCTGTTGCACTGGAGCTCTGCCAAAGTCACTATAGCACAGTCACTGAGTACAAATTTAACAGCTGCATACCCCACCACTGCTGCTTTCACTGGCAGATGAACTCACAGACTTAAAAGAATGAGCTTGCCACCAAACCTTACAATAAATATACATATAACATAAGAATTTATGTATGCTTCAGCTTTCCAGATGTGAGAAGCAACCTACTTTTACGAAAGTGAAAACTCTAAAGGCAGTTTTTAAGCTTTAGAACCAAAATCTTCATGCATGAAGCAGCTGTCTCCTGTTCTCAGTCTTGTTAAAGAACAATGCTGCTGCCAGTGCTTTGAAAAAACAAAGTCAAGGCTGAACGATTAAACGTTGTGTTTATTTTGTAATCAAGTTCCAGGAAATACTCAGCTATATAGGAAAATCTGGTCTTGCTTTATGTAAAGTTTATAGCCTGCCCTGCAGGCTACTCTCTTCTGCTCTGCCATTGCCACATTCCTAAAACTCAGCTTAAAGAATACATTTTTATATAAGCCTATGAATACTTAATTTTTGAATTTTGAAATAAATCTCATCTCATGCATGTCTCTCAAGAGGACATCAACAAAGCAGTTAGAATTATTTTACATAATTACTACATAGTACTCTGGTATGTCCAATTTAAAAACTGTGTCCTTTATTTGCAGTTCATATATGCTATTAATAATTTTAGCCAGTTTTTTAAGCCTGAAAAAGGTTACTGTGGGTTTCTATTAAAATGCTAATCAATTGCACAGGGGCAATTTATAATAAGCAGAGTTTGAATTAAAAATAACATCCTAACTTGGCCAATCCTTACAAGTCCATAAGCCTTTTTTATGCCGTTATGATCATGTCACATAAATGAATAATCCCAGTCCATAGCCAATTAAGTTTGAACAAGACATCAAGCCAGTCTGTACTTTAAATCCGGAAGACACGCCCACAACGAACTTGTGCAACAGCGACTCAAACCGATTGGCCGAGGCGCGCTGTCACTCATGGATCTCTGCCATTCCTTCCGTTCCGCCAACGAGACTTTACACAGATGTGTTTCAGGCGTGATCAGTTGAGGCGGTGGGACTCCTCTGTTCGCTCAGTGGGATCAACTTATTTCAGAGGATATACCGTGCCCTTTTCGAACACCTTGAGTTCAATGTAACAGGTATCGTAAACAGCGTAGGTCAAGGTAATCGGGGAGTTACTTTGTTGTAGAATTTAGCTTATTTAGTCGTGTTTTTAAACGCAGAAGAAAATGCCTGTAGCTTCTCTCCTGCCTTTCACGGCCACTCCGAATAGGAAGTCCGCCAGCCCGACCTCCTTCAGGCTCACGGAGAAATTCATCTTGCTTTTAGTGTTCAGCGCCTTTATCACCCTGTGTTTCGGAGCTATATTCTTCTTGCCGGATTCCTCTAAGCTTCTCAGCGGAGTTTTCTTCCGCTCGTCCTCGGTGGAGGCAGAGACGCGCACAGGTACGGTCAGTGACACGATCACCGGGACGGGCAAGGATGAGAAGATCCTGGCCAAGATTAGAAAAGACCACGAAAAGGCGCTGATCGAGGCTAAGGACACCCTACAGAAACGGCCGGACGAGATCAAGCAAGACATCATGCGCGACAAGGAGAAAGTTGCGCAGGTGAATGGAGCGGACGGTGACAGTTTGCCGTTCGTTCAGTACGTGCGGCCGCCCGGAGCAACAGGGCACGAGCCCGCGGATCCTGACATTAAAGAGAAAAGAGCCAAGATAAAAGAGGTATTGTATGTTTTTATTATTATATACTCCTGCGATTTTCTCAGACTCTCGAAGGAAATCATGTCAGATATTGTTGTGAAACTAAATAACTTTCCCAGTGTAGAGAAACCAAGTGGTATTAATAATATCGGTTATAGCCTATGTGCCGGTCACGGTGGCTGGAGATTGAAGAAGGGGACTGTTTGACACCGTGTCAGTTTCAGGAAACATTTCCCCAAAGAACATTTGATTAAAATACAATGTTGTAATAAGGTAGATAACGTGACGTGTTGTGAAACCAGTATGGCCTGACTTCTGACAGGTCTGTTTAATAGACACGTGAGTTCTGTCACTCACAGGAGAGCGAGCGCGTGCTCATTCATTCTGTCGGTCATTCGCCGAACTGTAACGTTAGTTTGTTGAAAACTGACAGCGTATTTCAGCTCGCTGTAACTGTTGTCAGTATGTAGTCAACATTTCTAGTTTCCAACTGTATTTTCAAATATTTGTCAGTAATCTGTTTTTAGTAGCCTATTTCAGCCAGCAGTTCCTGTATGTCAGATAGCTACTTTAGCCTTTTGTTTTTTTAGTGAGTTGTCCTGTATCTCAGTAGCCAATGTATTTCCTGATTTGTTTAAAAATATCTCTGTCAGTGTCAGTATTTTAGCCATGCGTTCCTTGTTTTTTTCTCTCCAGTTAATTAAGCAGTAAGTATCCTAGTTTCACTTGCGGTCTGTATTGAATTTTTTTATTTTTTTTATTTTTTTTTATTCCAGTCAGTAGTCTGTTTTTTAATATTTAATTCGTTACTGGTTCAGTCAACCGTGCCTGTTAGCAGTGTTTTCTGCTTTTTAGTGAGATTTGCCTGTATTTCAGTCAGTATTCTAGCCAGTATTTCCTATTTTTGTATTCACTTCAGTATTCACTATAGGCTATTCGTCAGTTTTTCAGTCACTGAAAATCCCCTATTTCACTCATGTTTTTAATCAGTCAGTCATCATTTACATAATTTTCTGTCAGCATTTCCTGTAAAAAAAAAAAAAAAAAAAAAAAATATTAATATGTTTGTGAAGTGTTTCACATTGATTCTATTTCCTGAATTTCAGACTGGTCATAATTGAGCTACATGTTTTTACATGATGAGGGCATTTTTTTGTTTTGTTTAAATTATCAAGTGAAAGTGCAATGTGAGTCATCAGTATCATTGCTTATATGTTGCCAATAGAGTGCAACAGTTCAGTTCCGGAAGTAAAAACGCCATTCATTTTCTCTATAAGGAAATGGATTTTGAACAATAACTTTAAAGACTGACCTACTGTGAGCTATGAATGAAGTTGTTAATCCATGGTATTTGCAAATACTGAAGCTGTCAGCCCACATTATTTCATCTTATTTTTAAAATAATTGTTAAACAGTAGAATTCCTGATGAAAAACTACATTACCAATGATGCTGTACAGTTAATTAGCCTACACCAATTAGAGAGTTAAAAAAGCAACATGCTCCAAAATACCTCCACCCACTCCCATGAAGCACTGCGTATGTAATCGAGTTGATCTCCCAGTCCCTATAGGGGAACAGTAGCTCCCATATGCTCTCAAAATACTGAAATGTTTGCATATTTTGCTATTAACTTAAAATATATTGTTTTTATGCACGTATTGTGATTCACCTCATAGCTGATTGGCTTGGTTCATGGCTTATAACACCTTAACAAAGACTATTTTAAATGGGAAAAATGAATGGAAAAAAAATCCCTTCAGGGACCAGCGCTGCTTAAAAAGGAGGCGGGCACTGTTGCAATCAATAGTGACAATAGTAAGCTAAAACCTATATTGTGCTGAGCTGCTTATGAATATAAAGTTACAGTTGGCACAGAAACGTATGCAGTTATGCACTATTCAAGAGAGGGGGTTGAATCTTCAATTATCTATCACTGTCCCTTTAAGTTATGATGCTGAAGTACTAGTAATAATTTGAAATATTTATATCGCCAATAACCAATATAGTGGTTGATATTTTATTTTAGATACAGATTCCCATCTCAAGCATGTTTTCCCTACATCATCATAACTCACTTATTAAACTTCTGTTAGAAGCAAAGTTGATTTGATCTTTTTTTAAACTAGCCTATTAAATTGGCAAATTTTGCTTGCCTTTGAAAAATGCACAAAAAATATTGATTGATTTAGCTGTTGATCATATCCTAAAGTGATGCTGGTGTTTTTATTTATTTATTAGTTTAAAAAAAAAATTGTTTTATTTGTGCTTGGTGGTATAGAAAACTCAATCAGGTTTAGTTGAGCTCAGCTCAACATCTTGGTTAAGGGTGAACTGTTAAAGTATTAACTAAGAAGAAACAAGGCTGTCAATTCTTGTTTCTTTCAGGATGAATGCTTTTAGAGTATGTCAGGCCAGAGTCTAATGTTCCCTCAGTATGAGTCGAATGTAGACTTTGCATTGGCTTGATTAAATTAAATTTGCTATTGATTGAGACCCAGTTTTTTCCCATTTGAATCAGGCAAGTCCAGAGTAAAGATGCAAATGAAAACTGACAGCATGGTTAAAATCACCTTTCAGTTGTATTGACCTTGTCTCCTTGTTTTTTTCTGGAATTCCACCTAGTTTATCCAGTTATTTGCATAGGAAAATGGTGCCTGTGTCCCTACTGTGTCCTCCAAATTTATATTGTGTCACTTTGTAATGCCATCCTACATTTTGAGATTTTGTTCTACTTGTTTGCACACTAGAGGACACTTTTCATCTCCTAATACTGTGAGTGACGGAATCTAAAACAAAAATCCAGAAAATCACATTGTATGATTTTTAAGTGATTCATTTGCATTTTATTGCATGACATAAGTATTTGATCACCTACCAGCCAGTAAGAATTCCGGCTCTCACAGACCTGTTAGTTTCTCTTTAAGAAGCCCTCGTGTTCTCCACTCATTACCTGTATTAACTGCACCTGGTTGAACCCGTTACCTGTATAAAAGATACCTGTCCACACACTCAATCAAACAGACTCCAACCTCTCCACAATGGCCAAGACCAGAGAGCTGTGTAAGGACATCAGATAAAATTGTAGACCTTCACAAGGCTGGGATGGGCAATAGGCAAGCAGCTTGGTGAGAAGGCAACAACAGTTGGCGCAAGAAGTTCAAGATGACGGTCAATCTCCCTCGGTCTGGGGCTCCATGCAAGATCTCACCTCATGGGGCATCAATGATCATGAGGAAGGTGAGGGATCAGCCCAGAACTTCACGGCAGGACCTGGACAATGACCTGAAGAGAGCTGGGACCACAGTCTCAAAGAAAACCATTAGTAACACACTACTCTGTCATGGATTAAAATCCTGCAGCGCACGCAAGGTCCCCCTGCTCAAGCCAGCGCATGTCCAGGCCCGTCTGAAATTTGCCAATGACCATCTGGATGATCCAGAGGAGGAATGGGAGAACGTCATGTGGTCTGATGAGACAAAAATAGTGCTTTTTGGTCTAAGCTCCACTCGCTGTGTTTGGAGGAAGAAGGATGAGTACAACCCCAAGAACACCATCCCGACCGTGAAACATGGAGGTGGAAACATCATTCTTTGGGGATGCTTTTCTGCAAAGGGGACAGGACGACTGCACCGTATTGAGGGGAGGATGGATGGGGCCATGTATCGCGAGATCTTGGCCAACAACCTCCTTCCCTCAGTAAGAGCATTGAAGATGGGTCGTGGCTGGGTCTTCCAGCTTGACAACGACCCAAAACAGGGCAACTAAGGAGTGGCTCCAAAAGAAGCATATCAAGTTCCTGGAGTGGCCTAGCCAGTCTCCAGACCTGAACCTAATAGAAAATCTTTGGAGGGAGCTGAAAGTCCGTATTGCCCAGCGACAGCTCCGAAACATGAAGGATCTGGAGAAGGTCTGTATGGAGGAGTGGACCAAAATCCCTGCTGCAGTGTGTGCAAACCTGGTCAAGAACTACAGGAAACATATGATCTCTGTAATTGCAAACAAAGGTTTCTGTACCAAATATTAAGGTCTGCTTTTCTGATGTATCATCAGAAAAACGTATGTCATGCAATAAAATGCAAACGAATTGCTTAAAAATCATAAAATTTTTGTTGTCTGAATCTGGATTTTTGTTTTAGATTCTGTCACTCACACTTTGAACTTGGGGTCGACCGATTATCGGCCTGGCCGATTATCGGCGCCAATATTAAGCATTTTATGGTTATCGGTATCGGCCATTTTCAAAACCGATTTGCCGATAAAATAATTTTATTTTGAAATGCGCTATATTTGGCTCTGACGCAGCCACCTTTGTCGGAACTCACCACTCTGTAGACTAGACTAATGTCCCCGCACATCTGATTTGTTGGGAGTCACGAGTCCGGCCAATCAGCGCGGAAAGCTGAGGCACTGAAAGTGTTGCACTCTCACACCGAGAGAGCACTCGCTGACTAGAGCTCCTTCACTGATCACGCTTCAGTTGTCTCTCAAAGTTAAGGCAGCAGCAGACTTTGCTGAAGAAGCAATAGATTACTACACTGAAGTTGCAAAATACCTCAATATAATAGAGCCCTGTGATTTCCGCGATGCAGAACAGACGGAGTCGCGGAATCCAGTCATAAAAACGGAATTTACTGTATAAAGCGGAATATCACGGAATTTGTCAACTATTTGATGAATTAATAAAAAGCAGGTCAGTACAAATCAAACCGCAAAAAGACTATTTAAATATGAATCCTGCGTGTCTCTAACGTTAAATGAATGGCGCAGAGATGCGTGATTTCAGTTACCACACACACACACACTGGAGCACGCGTGACGCTTGCGCTGTTTTCAGCCTCAGCCGCATCATTATATGAGGACATGATTGCATAAACATCATCTCCAGAGCCGCTTAGTCACTTCATGAGCTTTTTAATGCTTCAACTGAGAAAAGTTATCGACATATCATAAACACACAGAAACTCAAAGATCTCCACGGCAACCCGTCAAAATAAAAGTTAGGGTTTTCACAAGGCCCTA